CCCACCCCACAGTAATAATCTACAGCACGGAAGAGTCATGATGAACAAACGGAGTCAACAGAGCCTTTCAGTCCGCTAACAACCACATGCTATCTCATGACTGGCTCATTCCATTTCTGTGCAGTGCTGTAGTAAATTCTCCTTTCATTCACCTTTTCATTCTCTTCCCAGGCACTCCCAGCACAATGGAGTGCTTTTAACAAATATTTTGGGCACTTCTATTGAGTTGCTTCTTCCTGGCTTCTGCTGAATTTGCATGCTGGATTCCCAAATTGGAAAGCAGATACACAAGATCATTATTCTAATGCTATTCAGAGACAGAAGTTCCTCTTGAAGTCTGATTCCTGAAACTACTGTAATTCAGACAGGATTAATTAAATTATTGAGGTTAAATTCTTTCCCTGACGCATCTGATTTGCAAGTGGTTTAGCAAAAGTAGATCTTGGCCATGAGTAAGGTAGGAATGTCAGGCTGGTGTTAAAATCACACCTTTGCAGCATGAACTTCACTTAAAAGACTCTGCATTAGAGAGAGCGCTATTACAGCACTTTAGCTATGAATCCCTGATTAAGGATTGAACCTCATAAAAGAATATAGCTGCACTGTACCAGGGCAAAATCAGCCTATTAAAGAAATGATTTGTTTCAGTGTATGCATAGGGAATCTAAATAAAATACAGAAGAAATACCCTCGGTTAAAAATGTAACATAAAAGGTGTAGGGCTTTATAAAAATGATTATTGAATAAAGGAATAGGCCTGTTAGAATAATAAGGTAGGGCTGGTGGAAAAATGTTCAATGGAACGGTTTTCTGTTGGAAAATGCAGTTTCACTGAAATTGAAATATTTAGCAGGAACGTGTCAGTTTTGGAAACCTTTTGATCGGAGAACTTTGAAATGAATTGTCTTAACTTTTCGTTTCATTTTTACACAGTACAAATTGATGTGATATTGAACTATTCATTTGATATAATTAACAGCATATATTTAATATTCTTTATTAATGTTTTAGTTTTCAAAGCTAAAGGATTTGACATTATCAGTCTGAAATGTTTTGATCCTCCTGAATTGACAATGCTTGAAATTTCCATTTTTCCATATGATCTTAGCCTATTTTATACCTCAAGTAAAAACAAATTTGAAAAGAATAGAAATTCCATTTTAATATAAGATTATGTGATTGATAGTATTTTTTTCCATTGCATTATCTCCTTTGGGGGTCTGTTCCTCTTAGTGCATAAGCCAAGAATACTGTAGGAAATATTATGCATTAAATAGCAAAACACGTAGAACTGAAACATTTTTAAAGATATGTTTGACACATATAATAGATATAATAGATAAATTAGACTGATTTGATCACGTGATTACTAGTTACATAGAGAACTACCCAATTCTTGTTTGCAGTCAAGGCAATAGGCATTCTGCTCACAACTCGAAACATGTACAAATTTGCAGGTATAAGGTGCAGCCAGAAAAGGAAGTCCAGCCATCTGAAAATTCAGGCCTAAACAAAATCTACCCCATCACCTTAGTGTCACAGGACTATGTCCCATCCCCTGCGCAAATACTCATCAAACTCAAATGAAATGCCAAGGAGGAAAAGGAACAAAATGTGTAGTAAAGTACCTGACTGAGAGTGCTAAATGACAGGAAAAAAGCTGGAGGAATACAAGCGCGGTGTACATTGAGGCTCATTTGACTTTGTAAAAGAAAAACAACACACAGGCTTCTTAGGAGAAGCAGAGGTCCTCTTTTCCACTGGTGAGAAGCATCTTAATATGTACAATGTCTTGAAGAGGGTGAGACATTTTGCTAGGTAATACTCTCACAAATTTCCAGGACAATATTTGTTATCAAGCAACTAGTAATAGCTTTCTGCTCCATAGCGCCTTTCATCTGAAAGGATCTCCAAATACTTATACACTGAGCACTTGAGCTGATTAGAAATTTTCTGACAGAACATTTTTCTGTTAAAAATGCTGACCCATCACATTCAAAATGTTTTGTAAGACTGTAAGCGAAACGAAACCAGCCAAGTTTCCTGTCAAGTCACCTGCCTGCCTCCTTGACTCCTTGGTAATCCAGGCTCCTAGACTCTAGGCTTCCTGGCAACTCAGCTGGTAAGGAGACGAGGTTTTCTAGGCTTTGTGGTTCTTAAGGCTTCCAATTTGCCTGTCTTCTGGAAAATCAGTTGTGCACTGCCATGGAGCTGAGAATCACAGCTGTGAAGAAAGCACTCAGCAGCCAGTCCTAGTATAATGCTGCATCTACTAGGCCTGCAAGACATACAGAGTTCACTTCCTCTATTTTTTTCCTTGGAGATCTTTTTTCTCTAGGAATAAGCCCAGTTCCTGACTCTTCTGTTGCTTATGGTTTTGTGAAAAAGCAGTTAAGAACTTCAGCCCAGTCCATGTTCGATGGTGAGCAACCTGAGACTGAAAAGAATGAACCAGCAGCTGCCTGGGAAAAATAGAAGTAAGAGCCAAAGGTACTTCCTAGTTTGTGATTGTGGCAGGGCACTGTTTGTGCCTGACACTTTAAGACCTGGGGCCAAGCAGCCAGCAGGTGCTTAATTGCAGCGGCCATTTTAGAGCTCTGGCCGCCCATATAAACAGGGCATTTTGATGCTAGCTGGTGGCGTAGCAACATCACCTGGCTGCGAGGCTTCGTGGAACACTCTGGAAGTAAGGGAGGAGCTGTAGGGGATGGTCAGGAGGCTCCTGGTCCTGGGCATGACCTAAAACTGCACCTGCTGGGAGTGGGTGGCCTGGTGTGGCTCTCAGTGGCATGGGAGCCCCCAGGAAATGCCAGACCAGTTACCACCCCGGTGAAAGGCAGGTTGGGGGGGCCTTAACCCCAGCTCCCACAACCAGGTGGGTTACCCCCTTGTATGGTCTGGAAGGTGGACCCCAACAGGTTCCCCCTTGTATGGTCTGGAAGGTGGACCCCAGCAAGAGAGTGGGGCTATAGACTCAGAAACCTGTCTTGACATCCCCTGACTGGTCAATGCTGGGGCCAGGACTGGAAGGGTCAAAGAGCCAGTGGCCCATCACGAGGGATGCCCAGAGCTGACAGCCTGGGGTTCTGACTGGCCTTGGAGGTGGGGCCAGGGCCAAAGATCCCAGGGGGACAACACCCGTAAGGAGGAACAGCTCAGGGAGCTATGCAGCCTAGAATGAAGGTGGAGTAGGCCGCCTGAATGGAGGCATCCAGGAGGGGTTCAAATAGTATGATTCTGGGGCCCAGTGTGGGGCCGGTGATGTTGGTAACATCTGGATGCCATCTGCGAGGCATGGGCTGCGGTGTAGGGGAGGTACAGAGCCACAGATAGTGCCCTCTGGCATTGGGGCAAGAAATGGGCAGCCTCCCGCTTATTAAGATCACTAATTAATTAATTAACATCAAGGCATGGCAGGTGAGATGGTGGCCGGTTGGCCCAGAACAGGTGGGTGGGCCAAAGGTAAATCAGCCCCGAGAAGGCCCCCCTGTTACAGTAATGGCTAAGAAGTGCAGGAGTGAGGAAAGCAGATAAAAAAAAGTTTTGATTCTTCCAAATAAAATATTTTAAATTATTTTTTCATTATTTCATTATAGGACTAGTCATTTTATTTCACTATAGACCTACTCATGGACCTCCCCATCATACCCCCCCCCCCCCCCCCCCCCC